AGTTTCAGCCATGTTCATTGGACTGATGCTGTCTTTGCAAATTGCTTTTATCCCAAGTATCCAGAACAATTTAGGAATCATGCTATTATAATTTGCTCATTTCTGTTCCTAGTTTGGGAACTGTGCAGCTCTTGGTTCTGAAACACATTTTCTTTGAGGTATGACCCTTTTATTTCAATGGGAGGTTCTTCGGATTTCAGCCCTTTTCAGTTCAAAGAATTCAGGATGGTGGGGTATTTTTGAACCCTTGTCTTCCCTTTTATTGAACCCTTGTCTCGCAGATGCTGATGAAAGCAATGACATTCTTAATGGACTCAGAATGAGCATGTCGTGTCATCTGATATCATGTCCTATATCAACTCTGTTATACTGGAGGCAGTAGGCATGCTGTTACCCACTAGCCTGTTAGTAATGTTAGTTTGTTTGGTTCATTAAAATGATTTCTTAGATTTGCACTGTGTCTTGCTCCATTTGTTTTGATCAAAAACCATCTCTCTCTTTTAAACAACAACAACAACATATTCTTAGTGCCTGACAAAATCTTGATCAGATAGTTAAAACCAATAAACTAAAGGCTGAATAAACAATGGAAAAACATGTAGCATGGGGTTGCTACAGTATCATAAACGAATGGCCTTTTCTCATTTGTAACTACTGTACGCTGATTCTATGGCTAGGAGGGAGCATTTGGTACCACCATCCAGCCTGAGTCCATAGCTCGCAAAAGAGAAACAAACACATTATGGAAAAGAGATGAGCACCACACAGTGGTTCAATACAGGAAGTGCATTGCTTGAAACTGCAGGACTTAGGAGATCTATCTATCATCTATCTATCTACACCACTATTCATAGAAAATATCAGAGCAGTTTACAATAATAGTACATAAAACTATATTGAAAAGTTAAAATCAGAAATCAGGTAGCTATTGTGAACAGATGTATGCTTAATTGCCTACATATTCCTGACAGGTGTGGCCGCCGAAAGCCTTCCCGTTACTTCCGGGTTCGCCTCATGCGTATCCTGAAGAATACACAACAAGAGCAGTACATAACCTGAGGTTCCACTGTACAGTACCCAGCCCCGAGATTAAGGTAAAGGTAAAGGACCCCTGGACGGTTAAGTCCAGTCCAAAGTGACTATGGGGTTGTGGCACTCATCTCACCTTCAGGCCAAGGGAGCCGGTGTTTTTCCACAGACAGCTTTCCAGGTCATTTGGCCAGCATGACTAAACTGCTTCTGGTGCAATGGAACACTGTGATAGAAACCAGAGCACACGGAAACACCGTTTACCTTCCTGCCACAGCAGTACCTATTTATCTACTTGCACTGGTGTGCTTTTAAAACTGCTAGGTTGGCAGGAGCTGGGACAGAGCAATGGGAGCTCACTCCGTTGCAGGGATTCGAACCGCCGACCTTCCAATTGGCAAGTCCAAGAGGCTCAGTGGTTTAGACCACAGCGCCACCTGCGTCCCTGAGATTAACAACACATTGACTACAGTGGTCAATCTATCCCTTTCAAGGAATGGATGTAGCTGGTGAACCAGATGAAGCTGGTTAGAGGCACTTCTAGCCATAGAGGCCACATGAGCCTCTTGTGACAAAGAAGTACCCACAAGCTACACACTTGCTTCTTCAGACAGGGTGCAACTCCATCCAGAACAGGTAACTAGCCTATTTCCCTCATACTGGAACCACCCACCCAAAGATCCTCTTTCTCCCCAGGATTCAAGCACAGCCTATTGTCTCACACACCAAAAACTATTCATCTTGGTTCAAGCAAAAGAGTTTATTAGAGAATGGAGCTCATGTTATCCATACAGCACAGCTATGTCCATTGCTTATGCATATGTGAGGCAAGTCATAAACAGAGGGGGGCAGTCTCTGCTCCACATAAATGCTGCAATTAAAAAACCAATGGCGATCCAAACGTGAATAAGTGTGAGATTACCAGAAAGTTATTCTGAGTTGGTAATGCTGGACGTTGAGGTCAATGTAGAAGAAACATTTGACCAACTTGTGAAACATATGCCAAACCCAAGAGGCAGCAGGGAGAACAGCATGGTTAGGGTTGCCATACGTCCAGACCTTCCTGGACATAACTGATATTCAGCCCTCATAATAATAATAATTTATTATTTATACCCCGCCCATTTGGCTGGGCTTCCCCAGCCACTCTGGGAGGCTTCCAACAAAGTATTAAAATACAGTAATGCATCAGACATTAAAAGCCTGGTTCCCTGTAACAAACAATTTATTTCATTTATGAATCACTTCCCACAAAACATCCCAGTGATCTTTTTTAAAAAATCCCAAACAATACAAACATCAACAATAAAAGCATCTATCCAAACATTTTCAGAGCCAATGCAGACTGGGATAAGAACCAGGCAGAGGGCCTTCTTGGTGGTGGCGCCCGCCCTGTGGAACGCCCTCCCATCACATGTTAAGGAAATAAACAACTATCTGACTTTTAGAAGACATCTGAAAGCAGCCCTGTTTAGGAAAGTTTTTAATGCTTGCTCTTTTAACGGAGCCCTTTCCATTTCTCTTTCTCCACTTTGCTGGAGAGGTGCTGCGCAGAGAGAGAGAGAACATTTTTTTTCTTGTTCTCCTCCTCTAAAGCTAGGTGCGTCTTACAGAGCGAAAAATACAAACATTTCAATCTCTTAATTTCTCCTTATGCATCCTCTTTTTGTGTTTGGCTTTATGTGAGATAATGGCAGCTTTTGAGTAAAAATATTCCCATGGATGTGAGTGGGGAATCTTCACGATCCTCTTCATACAAATCTAAGCTTAAACCTCTTTTGCTTGCTCGCTCATTCTCTTTTTCTTTTTTTCAGACAGAATCCAGAACCATACACAAAACATTCAAAAATAAGACTTGGTACGCCCTCTGCTGCCTCTTCATCAGTACTAAAGTCTGCATTTAGAAATCTATTATTCCACAGATTGACCTCAGAAAAGTCACAGGAAAAGAATGTTTGCTGCTACACACAGCTCTGCATGTGGTCCAGTTCTGAAAAGTCCATGGATGATAGTGAAAAGTGTCCAGGATTTATGCATAATGATGACTGCAAAGCAATCTGATCAACTTTATTTTTAAATTGTATTTTTAATTTGCAGTCCTGAGCTCCTTGAGGAGGGAGGGCAGGATATAAATTCAATAAATTCAGTAACTTGATAATTGTCTAGGTCTAGGACTGTTGGAAAGGGAGAATTCTTTATACACCACCTTTAACTGCAAAACTCTCAAGGTGGCTTTCACTGATGAAATGGAAAAATAAATATATGATTCATTATTATTATTATTATTCCCTGCCCATTTGGCTGGTTTTTCCTAGCCACTGTAGGCAGCTTACAGCATACCTAAAAACATAAAAACATCAAGCATTGTCTTATTGTCAATCAACGGATTGACAACATGACAATGCTTGCAATATATGAACAGATTGCTTATAGATGCAGACTTTGTTTTGACAAATATATTGGAAAAACCAGGAACCAAAAAGAAGGAATAAAATAGACAGTTCTACCAATGGCGGGAGGTACTAGGTAGAGGTCCCCAAGGATCAGTATTGGGACCTATGCTTTTTAATTTGTTCATAAGTGATCTAGAGTTAGGTAAAGGTAAAGGGACCCCTGACCATTAGGTCCAGTCGTGACCGACTCTGGGGTTGCGGCGCTCATCTCGCTTTATTGGCCAAGGGAGCTGGCATACAGCTTCCGGGTCATGTGGCCAGCATGACTAAGCCACTTCTGGCGAAGCAGAGCAGCACACGGAAACGCCGTTTACCTTCCCGCCGGAGCGGTACCTATTTATCTACTTGCACTGCGTGCTTTCGAACTGCTAGGTTGGCAGGAGCAGGGACCGAGCAACGGGAGCTCACCCTGTCGCAGGGATTCGAACCGCCGACTTTCTGATCAGCAAGTCCTAGGCTCTGTGGTTTAACCCACAGCGCCACCCGCATCCCTTGATCTAGAGTTAGGGATGAGCAATTTGTATTAATTTGGTAATGATTTGTTAAAATTATAGAAAATCAATTTTAAAAATTGGCAAAAAAGAGTTAGGAATGAGCAGGGACGTAGTTCAAGCAGCTCAAAGAGCTACGTAGCTAAGTTTCCTCACGATAATAAAATGTTCAGGGTAGTTAAAACAAAAAAGGACTGTGAATAGCTCCAAAAGGATCTCTCCAAGCTGAAAGAATAGGTAGAAAATGGCAAATGCAATGAAATGTAAGCAACTGTAATGTGATGTGTATCAGGGCAAAAAAAATCTTAATTTCACATATATGTGCATGACGTCTGAACGGACAGTGATTGACTAGGTGTGAGACCTTGGATGTCAGCAGTGTGTGACAACTGTGAAAAGGACAAATTACATGCTAGGATCATTGGGAAAGGAATTTAAAATAACACTGTCAACACCTTAATTCCATTATACTAATCTATGGTGCAACTGCACTTGGAATGCTGTGTACAGTTCTGACAGTACACCTCAAAAACATTGCAGAGCTGCAATAGATGCAGAAAAGCGCAAGCAAATTTATCACGATGCAACTTCCACTGGCTTACCCAGAACTGACATACAATCTCAGCAATGCAGCCCAATCGTAGTCAGAACTAGGCAGGTCTTAAGTCACGCGGGGGGGGTGGAAGAGAGCATTCTCGCGAGACGTAACACGAAGTCGAAGTTGCTGTGTTTTCATAGCGCGGGGAAAGGAAGAGGGGAAGTTTTCTGCGCATGCGCCGCTGCTAAATTAGCTGTAACGTTCATTCACTTGACAGGAAAGGGAAAAGAGGACTGTTGAACAAATGTTGTAGAGAACGAAGGTGCACATTTGACTCCTCCACTCTCTCCAAAAATACCGAAGCGAAGGAGCAAGCGCCTGCCAAAAGCTTATTGGAAATACGCTTTGACATGGTACTTTCAAGTGGCTGGTCTTCTGCTGAGCCGTACATAAAGGGCAGAAAAGCGCGACCTTCCTTGTTAGTGTCCCTCACTGACGGAGGAGTGCCCTTCGTGCCGAACTTCTGCCTACGAGGCGGCAAGAGTTCAACGAACAAAGCTCCGCGCCTCCCAACAAAATAACCGCGTGCTTGGAAGCCTCGGCCAATCTCGGAGAACGCGCTGCGACCACACGGCCCGTCTGAAGTGAAGGCTGCTTTTGCCTTTCCACTTCTCTTGCCCCGCACATGGCGGACCCCCGCCAACAAGTGCTCGGGAGCCGGAAGTCGCGATAGGGAATCTGTGAGGCTGCCGCTTTTCCTCGCGGGCTGCCGTTTCCTTCCGTCGACGCGTCGCTGCTGGGGCCAGTCGGCTTCATGGCGGCCACGGGCGAGGCGAGCGCTGGGGTGGGAGCGGGACAGGGCCGCAGGAGAGCCTATGTGAAGGTAGGCGCCGGAGGAGGAGCGGGGAAGCCGTAAAGCTTTTGCAAGGATAATGCTGTCTCCCCACGTGCGCGTGATGTTAACGACGCGGGGAACGTTGGGAGTCGCTAATACGCTAGATTTGTTAGCGCTTCTTATCCTGCTGTGCTTTTAATTTGTCTCAGTTATAGGCCGCCTTTTGTTCCGAGGAGCTCAAGGCGGTGCACATGGTTCTCCTCCCCCATTTCATCCCCGCGAGGTAGGTCACCCACTGAGCTGCACGGCTGAGCGGGGACTCGAACCCAGGCCTCCCCCCAAGTCATAGACCTGCGCTGTAACCATTGCGCCACGCGGGGTCTCGAAAGACTTTGAGTTTCCCCCCGCCCCTATTTATTGTTGCCCTCACAACAATCTTGTGAGGTAGGTTAGGCTGTGAAATGTTACCAGGAATACACAATTAACGCGGAGAAAGATGCATATACTGTGTGTGTGTGCGTGCGTGCGTGCACACACACATGTATACACACGTGCACTTTGAAATTTAAAAAAAAAAGTTAAATGCTCTACTGGTTCTTTTTCACACAGAATGTTCCCTGGAACATAACTTTCCCCCCTGTTAATTCATAATTTGGAAAATAGCCTTCATTGGGTTCTGTAGTAAATTGGGAAAAGTTAACCAAAGGTAGAGACTGAGGTTATGTAGATGGAACCTGACTGTTTTGACATATCCTCAGTCAATAACTTTTCACAGACTTGAAGGTAGGCTTGCCACTATCACATTCAGTTGTTTTTGTGAATTTTCCGCTAGTTTCTCATGTTTTGCAAAACAGACTGTGACTGACTCTAGCAATATATACACATGCGATATTTTGAGTGTGAAAATCACAGGCCCTTTAAATATATGAAGGAAATGCCATATTGGCCGAAATATAAGCCACACCAAATATAAGCCACACCTTTAAAATGGGGGGGGGATACCCAAATATAAGCCAGTATGCTCCTGGCTGCATACTGGGGGGGGGGGGTTGCATTGCTGGCTGCCTTTCCCCTTCCTCACTCTCTCCCTTCCTGGCCTTGGGGGAGAGGATGGGGAACTATGTAGAGGCACTGCTCCTGGCTGCATACCGTAAGGTTGCGAATATAAGCTGCACTTTAACTTTTCAGGGTTGGAATTGGGGGGGGGGGGGGAGTGAGGCTTATATTCAGGCAAATACAGTGTATAGTTGTCCAAATCTGTGTGCATGCAGTCTCTTAGAGACTGGGCCTTCATTTGAGTAGACAAATGCTTCAAGCTGTTTTAGTCAATTTAGCCACTTCACTTTTGTGGAACTAATATGAGAGCCAGTCTGCATTTGTAGTTCTAGTAAATACCACATTTATACATTAGAGATGTGCTAACTATAAATGTGAAAAACTCAGGAAACATTGATAGTAAACTGCTTAAAGGCCACCTTGGCAATTAAGCAGTATATAAATTTAATAGTAAATTACAGCTCTTTGAGTGTACATTTGGTTGCAAACCCAGTTTTGTGCCATGCAGCCTGTAGCTTTGTGAAGATGATAGGAAAATCATGCAAACAGGCCTGTCCCTTGTGTTGAGGAGCCTATTTTTCTTCCACACCTACACCATTACATTTTCAAAGCAATTGAGCTACTGATACCAGATCAGGACTAGTGCCACAGTAATTTAAAGCACTCCGGCTGCAGTACAAAAAGCAAAGATCTGTATGCAGCTATATGTTCTATGAGGATTGCCTCTTTGTGTTATAAATTCATGTGCTTTATATGCTTTCTGTATTTTGTAAAACTTTTTGTATATGTAATATCTGCTTTGCTTTAATATGTGTTGTAGCACGTTTGCCATAATTGCTGGCTTCTAGGTTACCTTTAGGCATATGACCAGAGGTACAATCAGTAATCAATGGAGAGCTTCTCCCTTCTTTCCCCTTTTCTTATGATCGCCTGGTTCAGAGCTGTTTGCAGGAGTTTTCCTTTCTTCTTCTGAGCATGCTCTCAATTCTACTGCATCCTCTAAAAATGACCTTGGTAGGGTCCAGGTGATGGGTTTATACATATTTGAACAGTGCTTTGTTACTGGTGATTATTGTACCAGCCAGTAGCATTATGTTAAAAGTACCTCCGAGCGCATTCAGAGTCTGTTTCTCTTTCTGCTGAACAAGTGCAGTTTGCCTCAAGAATGAAAGAAAAGCTTATAGGGCAGGTGACGTAAACTGTTTGGGCTCTGTGCTTCTTTCTTCTAAGAAACTGAATGCTGCTACTACCTCCATTACAAGTATACAGTGCAGAACTAAATAACGTAACCTCCCTCACATAAAAATTCCACTCTCAATACATGGTGCCAGCTAGTCAGCAATGCTGTCTTCCAAGATAATATCCTCAGTAGAGCTGGTGGGAAACCTGTGATCCCTCCAAGTCTTGTTGAACTGCAACTTCCATCTTCTGTAACTACTACTACTACTACTATTATATTTGTTTGTTTATACCCTGCCTTTTTCCCTTGACAGGGGCTCACAGATAAAGTAAGAACAACTAAAAACGGGGGGGGGGGGTTATTAAAAAATTAAACATTAGTAGAACTAAAACTATGGGTGGGCAATCACAGAAACAAAAACAGTGTGGTACCCATCTGCCCATTACAAACTGTCAGTTTTCAAAAGCATGCTGAAACAAGGTGTCTGGCCGGAGGACTCCTAAGAGGGAGCAAGTCTAACTTCTCTTGGGAAGGAGTTCAAACTCTGAGAACAGCCACCCAAAAGGCCCTGGCTAGAACTGATGGGTATTGTAGTCCAACAACATACTGAAGGCCACAGGTTCTCCATGCTCTGCAGTGTAGGGATTAAGCAGACCAATTCACTCTCATCCTCTGTCCCAACCCCTTTTCCATATTTTATTTTGCAACTTGCATTCAATGTTCCATGGCTCTTAAGTCCTCATTAGGCTGCGTGGGTTGGAATTGTTCCCTTTGGGGTTTTTTGTTTTGTTTTTTAATGTTTTGCTTGACTCCTTTGCTGTTGGCCTTTTCACTTCTGTGGCACTCCCATGTACTGAATTTCTGGGGTGGAGAGCCTTTTCTACTTATGTAGGCTTCTCATGTAATATAGAACTATAATCTTCCATGGTTGATAAATGGGCAGAGGGGAAAACTCCTGAGTAGGGTTACTATATGTCTGATTCCTGGTTCATTAAACTCCCTCCCTCCCCCCTCTCAGTCTGCTATCAACAGTCTGTAATGCTCGCTATTGGAACAAGTGGGAGCTGCAACAAAATGTTGCAGTGTAAAGCTAGCCAGTCATGTCCTGTTCCAAGATGCTCATGTGAAAGCTCAAATATAATGCAGAACTTAAAGCAGTTGCGGAAAAGGAGTAAAAACTGAATCAACTGCCAAGTGAATGCAGCCTTAGTCAGTGGATGCATTGACCAGTTTAGCATCCTGGCCCAGCCCCCTGCTTCCCAACGCACTCACTCTTCAACATGTAAACTATTTAATTTAATTGTGTTTTTATTTAAATTCTGTTTTTCCGTCAAAAGGACCTTCAGTCAGCCTCACTAAAAATAATACAATTACGTAAAGGTAAAGGTACCCCTGCCCGTACGGGCCAGTCGTGTCCGACCCTGGGGTTGCGCACCCATCTCGCTTAAGAGGCTGGGGGCCAGCGCTGTCCGGAGACACTTCCGGGTCACGTGGCCAGCGTGACGAAGCTGCTCTGGCGAGCCTGCATCAGTGCAGCACACGGAAACGCCGTTTACCTTCCCGCTATAAAGCGGTACCTATTTATCTACTTGCACTTAAATGTGCTTTCGAACTGCTAGGTGGGCAGGAGCTGGGACCGAACGACGGGAGCTCACCCTGCCACAGGGATTCGAACTGCTGACCATGCAATCGGCAGGTCCTAGGCACTGAGGTTTTACCCACAGCGCCACCCGCGTCCCTTAATACAATTACATACTGTATCATAAAAAATATTTCAAAGTAGTCAATAACAATGCATTTGAAAGAAATATATCCCATTTATAGCAGCAGAAAATATGACTCTTAATATGCTCAACATCCATAAAGCCTGCCAGCAGAGAATGGTCTGGCCACCTAAAAATATTTCGTTGAGCTAGTGAGAATTTTTCCAAGCATCATCATCCCAAGTGCCTTGCTAAAAGTTGTCGCTTGACTGCTCATTTTCCCTGCAGCTCGCTTCCCTGTCTCTGCTGGCACTCATTCCTCTTTGCTCCACAGTGAAACTCCTATGCTCCAGAGATCATGGGTGCAATTTGACAGTTGCATTATTTTTCTAGCAATGACCTCCCTATTTTCCAAGGCAAAGATAGGTAGACTAGTACTGTGGAGGGTGAAAGGGAGGAGGCAGCTGTGCTGGGTAGGGTGCAGAAGTAAGTTTGCTACACTTTGCAATTTGGTTAGTTTCCTAGAAATAACTGCCAGGAAAGTTGATGTGACAAATAGCATCTGTCATCTTAGAGCTAATTCCTACAAATGCTTCAGCACTTATGTGGTGCCAAAGTGGTCAAAAGAATACCCATGCACAATAAAGAATCTGAACCCTTTTGGTATTGTGTGCTAATGCACACTCGCCTGGGCCTTTCAATTGTGTTGAAGCATTTGCGCAGTTTGTTCCACCCTGGTTTTGCCTTGGGTGGTTGATGAAGACTGCATGATGCCATGCTAAAGAACACTGAAGAAATCAAACACAGAAGAATCTGTCCATTAAAAATGGAGTTGTAGAAGTGTAGAAGTACAAGCCTGTTCTCCAGAATGGAAAATGTAATCCTGAATTTGCTGGTATTTCTCCTCCTACTCTTTCATCTTGTTACCCTGTCCTGCTGCTGATGGTGTAGTGCCTTCTCCCTTTTAAAAAAATCTTTCTGTAAACACCAGCAGTTGTTGCTTGCTTGCTTTCTAGCACCACCTGCCATGGTTTTAATGAGCATTTCATAGGGCACCAGCAGTTTAGCTTAGTGTAATGTAATATTCTTGCCATCTTCTGTTCTTACAAAAATTGGCTGCTATCCTACCTTTCTTTAAATGTGAGCAAAACTGAAGCACCAGATGTTGCAACATTCATCAGGGTAAAATATTGCCAGTAACAACATTATTCAAATCTTGATCCTATCATTTTAAGCAGGGTCTGACAGCAGAAAACAGTTTTGTACATCTGTTTCTCTATCCCAGATGGGATGAGGTCTTCAAACTAGTAAGATAATTTTTTTGAAAACAAGCAATGTTCTATTGGAATTTGTGGTGAATTCGTGGGAACTTAAACAAACCATTAAAAGCCTAAGTTCAGTGTTTAGCTGCAGAAGTGAAATGCTTGCGCACCCATAATGCAAATGCTTGCAGAGGTGGGAATATGTTGCTCCCTGTGACATGTTGCTGCGAAGGCTTGAGCCTGAAAAGAGAATGCAAAATGCAATATTTCTTAAGAAGTAAGGCAAGAAAAATGATAGTGTCTTCAGCTGAAGCATCCGGGACTTTTGAGAGCAATTCTATCATGCCCTCTTGAAAAATCTGCTCTAGAAGATCAGGAGGCGTTCAATGCAGTGTGAGAGGCTGCAGCCTGAAGAGAAATTTGGTACAGACCATGTGCATAATAAGCACAGTGTTCTTTGAATTTTGGCCTCTGAAATTAGTTGAAACAAATGCCATATCTGTGCCAATACTAGAAGATGTCTTAAAAATGATCCTAGTTCTGAGTAAAATCTCAGTTTGGCCTTTTGAAAAACTAGTTTGAACCATGGATGGACACATGCACATGTATGACTCATGGAGATGGAAAACAGCAGGGGATTTTAATTTTTTTTGCTGCTCTGATTTGGAGCTTGTCTGCAAAATTTAGATATCTGCAATGTTACTTCTTGCTTAACAGCTTCTGCATATATGCTTTGCTTCCGTCATTCTCCTTGCAAATTACTGGCTTTTCCTTCCGCTTGAATATGAACTGCATTAGAAAAACTTTCTTAAGGATGCTTCCCTCCTCCTCAATTAAAATAATAATGGATGTGGTCTGAAGGTGCATCTCTAATGTGGGAATACTCCTGTGTGTATCCTCCTAGTATAGCGTGTATGAGATGCCTCGTACAAAGACACACGTTCCAACTGCTTCTGTCCACATCTTAAATTTTACACAGGAAGAATCCAAGAGATGGGCTTGAGACTACTTTCCCAAGGACATCTACTAGACTACTACTATCAGTATAATTTTTATGTTTAAATCATACCCCGAGGTTTTGAAAACATTAAGATTGTTGCATCAGATCTGTTAGTAGACCCTAGGTAGAACCTTGATTTTTGAATTTTTAAACAACTTGACATTTTTTGTTTTGGACAGATGAAGTTGAACTTATTTTCTGGAAAGCTCGGGATTCATAATGCCAACAGTCACACTAATACAGATAACTGTTATTGGTTTGGCAGTCTTACCAGTGAGCAGCCTTTGAGGAAGTCAGTGCCACTGTAGCTCTTAAAGTACCCTTTCATTGGCAAGGGACGCCAATCCATCTGGCTTAACTCTCAACTAGGCTAAGCTTCTTTTCGTACCCACTTATTGAGGCTACTACAGACTTGTCCTAGCAACTTGCATTCCTTTGGTCTCCATATCAAATGCTTCTTAAATGGTATGGCAGTTGCACTGACATGCCTACGCCTATCATGGAAGCTGCTGTACTTCTGCGCTCCGGATGCCCGTTTTTACCCAGATTAATGCATTCTGGTAGCAGAGGTTTTGTACAAAATCTTATGGCTGCCTCCAGATCATAAGACAAAGGCAAAAGTTGCCTGCACAATCAGCTGTATTGTATAGTTCAGCTGAATCCTTGAACATCCATATTAGGTTTGTTTTTATTTTGGGTCTAGTTGAAAGTAAAGGTATGCAGCATGAATCTCATTTCCTTCACTGCTTTCTCCAGGCTAATCGTAACAGCTGCTAAGGACGACAAAGACAAACTGTAGACAATCAAATATATTGTACTGGTCAAGTAAAATGGATCCATGTTCAGTAGGAAATCAGCTGCAAGCTAGCAGCGATTGCCATAAAACATACTTTACCTGTCACACTGGATTCAAGACTAAGCAAGAACTATCATCAACTGATCTGTTACTCCTTCAGCTTAGGACTGGGATAACACTTTCAGAGAACGATACAATCTGCTTCCATCATGCTAAAGTTTACCTTGATAGGTATGAAGACTTGCAAAAGTCGTGCTGTGATCCTTTTAATATGCACAAAAAGCTTTCAAGGAAAAACTTGCATGCAATTGACATAGACGATGCAACTGTTCTAAGTGCCAAGTTTGGACGGCAGTTTATACCTGGCTGGAAACTTTGTCAAAAATGTACACAGATAATAAATGGAAGTGCAGAGGTTGATTCTGAAGACCGTCAGCGAAGGAGACTTGATTCAGACGTATGTATATGGGATAATTTTTTTCACCTATCTATTGGACTTAGGCTGCAATCTTGTGCACACTTACCTGAGAGCAAGCCCCAGTGAAAATGCTGTTCCTTAATTCGAAGTAATTGTGCCTGTGGGTTGGGCTGTACTTAACGTAGAGCATCGCTAAGATAGCTATTATTAATTAATTAACCCTCAGGTACTAATGGTATGCTAAATACTATGCAATTTCCACATGTGTGGTCATCACTTGATAAGTGCAACATGAAGAATTATGTGAAACAGCCATCATTAGTCAAAACTTAACAAAAGTCACTCTGATATAACCTCACATCATCTCAAATGTAGTAACTGGCAATAGAGCATTAATACATGTAGCTGCAGTTCCTCACATGATATGTTATGCATATATGTATGAATGTGCCCTAAGTAAGTCTAACGTGATTAATGTGGAAGAAAGAGCAGGGCTTGACACTGGAATGGTGAAACTGAGTAGAAGTGGATTAATTCATAGCCATGTATAAAAGTTGGAACCACGGCAGTCTTTGGGGAACAATGAGATCTAGTCTACACATACAACAGAGCAAAGTGTAGGAGTTCTGACGGGATTGAATCGATATCATTCTGCCCCCTTAAAACTTATTTCATCACTTGATAGAGGGGGGTATCTATTCCTAGCAATAAAAAGCAGCATGATGGAAGATGTACTTTGAAATGGAAGTTATTCTCCAGTCTTCATCTAATGAAAACATACAGCAGATAATTTTTTTAAAGATGAGGTCAAAAGAGAACTGAAAATATGTCCTGTTTACTTATTAAAGTAGGCTTTCACTATTTCTGTTTCCATTAATTTGCACCATTAGATATATACTCATATCCCGCTCACCTGCTCCACAAGAAATTGCCATTGCTTTTTTACTTTACTTCCTAGTGTTTAGAGAGACCTTACGAGTGGTCAGGTGGCTAAGATGTCATAAAATTAAAATACGTGTGTTGGGGGAGAGGGATGCTTTGTGCCACAGCATACAGCAACCACTTGTGCACATTTTTTGTATTAACCTGTAATAATCTTCCTTGACCAAGAGCAATTGCTGGTGGATACCCTGTTCATGTAGACAGGGATTGAGGGCATCTCAACCTTATCCCCCTTCATATTCATGAACTGAGCATTTGAAGGCAATGACACTCAACGGAAAGGTTTTTTTTACATTTGGCCCCAGCTTTGAGCCTCTTTTTATCTAAGAAGTGACAGCATTCTAATTGATTAGCAAGCCTCTGGTAGTGTATGCATTAAGCTTTGTATTAATAGTTCCAATGAAATTGTCTGTATCTGTTCAGGGACGTACAGCTAAGGCCTTGAAGTCCTTACAGTTTGCTAATCCAGGACGACATTCTGAATTTGCTCCAGAAGCAAACAAAAGGGAAAAAAGAAGGCTGCAGACAAAAAGCACATCCAACAATTCAGACAGGTGAGCTCTTTTCCTCCGATGATTACACTTATCCTTGCTTTCACGCCCTTGGGGGAAAGTCTTTATTTGCATCGGGACCATGCTTCAAGTCTGCTTAAGTAGATAGAATCTCTTTTCATTCAAGTGCATAGAAATGGTGTGATAAAAATCCATTGTAGGGCATGGAAAAAACCTTGAAGAATAAAGAATTGCCACACAATAATGCTATTGGAGCATCTGAATTAATCCACAGAATAGCTAAAAGGTGACTGATCCTGCCTTTTCTGTTCCAAAGTGGTTCTGAACAAATCAATTCTGTACTGAAGCAGGAAGGTGAATGTTGATTAGAGTTGTCCACAGCATCAGTAGACTCCTTTCAGATATAACATGTGATCACACCTTAGATAGTAATGATGCCCTTCCCCAAAATTAATGAACCCTAAAACATTCTGTCCACCGTTGCAAAGGGAAAGAGAAAGGAAACAGAATTGCATAGCCTATGGACAGACATGACAACCTGTTGCATGGACAGACTCTGTCAACATGTTTCTGTATGTAATGGTGCCTCCCTAGAACCTAAACTTGCCCGAAATTTATTGGCAGTCTCTGTGGCTAATGTAATGTATGGCTTTTGATTCTTGGCATAAGATTAGCAAATTCAGAGCAAATTCACCTAAAAGTAGATTTAAACTGAATTGCCAGTGACTTAAAATGGAGTCCATTGTTACAGACTGCTGTTAATTCTGCTTTCTTTCTCCTCCAGGCAACTCATACCAGCAAAGAGCAAAGTGTACGATAGCCAAGGCCTTCTGCTTTATAGTGGGATAGACCTCTGTGACTGTCTTGATGAAGATTGCCTAGGATGTTTCTATGCTTGTCCCAAGTGTGACTCCAGCAAGTGTGGACCTGAATGCCGCTGTGATCGCAAGTGGCTATATGAGCAAATTGAGATAGAAGGAGGAGAAATTATAAGGAATAAGCAAGCGGTATAGCTTGCACGTTGAATTCAAGTAATGAGCGTACATGCCAAAGGTTTTCACTTACAAAAATGCATAAACTTTGTTCAGGTTTCCAGTTAGTGTTTGAAGTGGTATATGAAAGTTGTAGCTCAGAGTTAATTTCCCCTTTTTGGCACCCTTACAAAAAAGAAAATCTAGAACCTTATTAATGGGCAAGTGGATTAATCAGAACAGTGTTATGCATTTTGCACCATGTACTCTGTAGAAAAGATGCATTTCCCAAGCGTCTCCCCTCTTTTCACCTGGGAGTGTTGCCCATTTCAGAAATGTGACCATTGATTTCATCACTTTAATTGCTAGAAGCCATGAGCAGTATTAGCACGTAGATCTGTTAACAACAGATAAAAGGCTTTTTGAGAAGATGGTACCACTTCAAAGAAAAGTATTGGACCGCTTTGAAATATTTCCGTGTTTTTGTTTTTAATCTGAATACAAATCTATCTTGTGTTTTCAACAGTATTTCACTGATGAGGAGAAAATAATAAACCAAAGATGTAACCTCAGGTAGCATTTCCATTATGGGTTTGTTACTTGAGAACTATATATTTGATTCTCTAGGCAGTTGGACAGAGAATTTCTAGGATGAATGACAACACAATCCCATTTAGCCTTTAAGAATATGTGCAAGTTAATTATTTGAATTTTGACATTAGGAGCACAAATGGGGAACCAGGAGTAATGTGTTTTATATTGCAATCACCGATGCTCTGCATAAGGATATGTACAGAATTTATTTTCAGTAGCAATTAAAAGGCTGCATTTTTTTGCAGGGCCATTTTCATAGTTTTGACCCCATATGCAATAAGGAATTGTATCTGTGTAAATTAAACTTGCCCTTGAGGATAGATGACTTTCCATTTGAAAATGATGGTTAGGTGGTAAAATGTGTAAGACTTAAAAAGTTCCTGTTAAGTATTATCCTAGGAGTTTTGTTTGACTCCGCCTGTGTTCAGGAATTTATCCTGTTACCTGTAGTGTCCTAGGAAGGCAAATTGTGTCATGCAAAGCAAGAAAGCTGCATAGGAGCTGGTGGATGTTTGTCCCTAAATTCAGGAGGAGATGGAATTGAATCCATAGCCCTGAACTTGGAGTTCCATGACTGCTTTGAGGGGCCCACGTGGAGCTACTCCCTTATTTGACATAATTTATTGAGGGGCCATGAGGTCTGAGAACATTGGAGTGTATCCAAGGAGCTTCCGGATTAAGTCAATTGTGTCTTTACAGTATTTGTATGCGTGCATTTATTTATATATGAATACAAACCATTTCATTATCAATTATGATTGCATTTTTTTACAATTTGCAAATGTCTGTACTTTAAAAGACTTAAGATTACACCTTTGCTGGGGCTGCATTATATCTGACTAAATTGGGCATTAGCAAATCATCTTGTAAAGAGAAATCCGCAGTAGGAATGGTTATTAAATTTAAAATTGCTTCACTTGGTATCTTTTTTTTAAAAAAGCATTTTTCTATCTAAATCAACTCCAAAGCCTCTGTATGCAAATAGCTTTATTGGGACCAACCAAAATGTCACACAGTCATTTTCATAGGTCTTAATAAAGGTATTACCATACTGTGGTTTTGGGCTTTCCCCCCCTATTGTATGAATCAATACAGACTTAATATTTTTTTTAAAAAAACCCGTAAAATAACTTTAGAATACTATGTGCAACTTTGCTTGACTTGATTGATTTCATATGTTATGTAGTAAAGTTCTTACAGCTAGGTACAGAAAACTAGCCATCACCTAAAACTGTTTTTAGAGCCTGCCTAACTGCTGGCAAGTTATTTGAACAGATGGATTTTTTTACTCTCCCTGCAAAGTGCCATTCTGCAAAGCTTACAATAAAATAAAAGTACTTAAAGGGAAAAGTTTGACACCTGAACAATGAGATACATATATATGGTTTTATCCAAAGCTGTCCAGGTGCGAGCAGAACAGACTTCTAATCATGCAATCAGAACTTTGCTCCTGCAGCCTCTCAAAATCTGCTCTGTGGGGTTGAGGAACCCCCGAGTAAATTTGTGGAATTGTAGAAAGGCATAGAGGAAGAAGATATTATGCTGCATGAGCTCACTATCAGTTTAAAAATTTGGATACTGGCAGATAAATAGCTGCAAGTCGCATTGCAGCATGCTGGAATAGGAAATCCTCTTGAACTTAAATTTCTTAGTGTTGACATCTACTGGCACTAACAAAATGTAAAGCAGCAATGCAAATATTGTGTTTGTCTAGTTTCTTCAACAAAAAATTGATCAAATTTACCCTCAAATGCTTAGACGTGTGTTTCAGTGACTAATCTATTATAAAATGTTATACAGTGTAATGGCTAGTATGTATTAGTAATATATTTTTCTTTTCATTTTGATATAGGTATGTATTGGTAATCTGCTCCAGATATTAACATTAATTAAACAGAGGTTGCAGTTCTGTGCACAGATACTTTGGTCAATTCCATGAATACTAACAGATAGTATGTACTGCATGCTGAAGTGATTAGTTATGCAGAAAAACTTACTCCACTTACACTGAAACATTACTGCTAGTACTAGACAGCTGCAAACGAAGATACACTATTGAGTAAATATCAGGTATTTTCTTTGTCAACTCACGTCTGAAGATTCCTATATTTCTTATCATTTATCAAATCCTGTTAATAAATACATTTATTTGAGCCACATATTTAGTTCTATTATTCTTCTTTTTAAAGTTCATCCAGATAGGTAAAGGTAAAGGTACCCCTGCCCGAACGGGCCAGTCGTGTCCGACTCTAGGGTTGCGTGCTCATCTCGCTCTAGAGGCCATGAGCCGGTGCCGTCCGAAGACACTTTCGGGTCACGTGGCCAGCGTGACTAAGCGGCATCTGGCGACCCAGCACCAGCGCAGCACACGGGAATGCCGTTTACCTTCCCGCTATAAAGCGGTACCTATTTATCTACTTGCACTTAGGAGTGCTTTCGAACTGCTAGGTGGGCAGGAACTGGGACCAAACAATGGAAGCTCACCCTGCCGCGGGGATTCGAACCGCCGACCTTGCGATCAGCAAGTCCTAGGCACTGAGGTTTTACCCACAGCGCCACCCACGTCCCTATATCCATCCAGATAATGAAGAGTAAATATCTGAATACCTCTACTTTCTATTAATTTACTTAGCCCAAACTTATTACAAAACAGAGGACTACTACTCATTCATTTGTTTGTATGCCGCTTTTCCACCAAAAAAAAATGCTCAAAGAGGCTCACAGAAAAGGAATGCATTTCAAACAAACTCTACAAAAACAATTTAATAACAGCATAGCAAAATAACATAGTAACAGTTTCATAATAACAGCAACATAATAACATGAAAAAACCACATTTCACTACTATAAATATAACAAGATGACTTAAGCAACACAGCATCCAATAGCAAAATTAACAAGGGGACTTCACAGTTTTCTCTTAACTCTAGAAACACTCCTCCCATGATATTACTCACCACCTTATTCTCTTGAATTTCGCGCCACCTGTACAGTTAAAGAGACATTTAGCTGCCTTATTATCTCTTGAATCTGAATCAAAAAGTCTGAGGTTAATAGATTTAAGTGCCCTCATAGTGCTAGAGTAAATGAGGTTCTTCCCCATGTAGAAGGGTGACTTGCACCAGGGAGCGTGGGCAGTCTGTCATTAGATGGCGTCGGATTCCTATAATACAAAATTTTGTGGGATTATGGCTGTGCTCATATTTTCCTAGGCAATGACATGCAAAATAATAATAATAATAACAACACACGTTTCCTTCCCTTTTACAAACCTGAGGCATGAAGCAAAATGTACATACGGTGGAAAAGTTTATACAGATACCGGTGTGTATGAGAGGGGGGTACACTTGGGAGAGAAGAAAAATGAACGTGTCTGGGGTTTGGGTGGGTGTGTATGTGTTGTCTCTTCTCTGAGCAGTAAGAGGAGGGGCTATCAACGTGTGGCTTCTTTGTATGTGTCATCTATGAAGGAAGGGAGAAATGTATATGTGATGTGGGGGGTGAGAGATGCATATGTGCCTGTAGTTTGTGTGCAGGGAGCGTGTGCATGTGTGCAAGGGGGTGGTGGGCCACCTGGTATATTTTTCCTGTTACTGGGGAATGTGCCTTGTTATTAGATAGCAAAAGCATCACTGATGGGAGGGAGTCTATATTGTGTGATCTCCACAGTTAGGACCAGCAGGACATCCTTTGAGAAGCCTGAGTTTTTCCAGGGGAGAAGAAGCAATTACTGTACTGTCTTAAGATTTGTAATGTGCCCGCTAGTCCAAAAAAGGCTGATAACCACTGGTTTACAGAAGCAATTCATTTTAAAACCATAGCTTATGAAGCGGCTTGTTTCTATAAACCACAGTGAAGATTAGCCACAGTATAGGGTTCTTAATTTTGAAACTAAAGCTTCGGATCTCTTCACCCTGACAGTGGGAGAGAGCAGTGAGTTCAAGGCTTGTGTATGTAGCAAACCAAACATTGCCAATGTTTATGTCTGACCATTTGAGCCATATTAGGCTCTACACCATTGCCCTGAATAGAGCTGTGAACAATATTAGGCTGTATCTTCACAAAATTGTCCTGAACATCTGAGATGATGTCCTTGAAAGGTGAGTTTAATATGAATGGGCATTATAATTTTACAGGTGTTGATTTTGTTCTGTTTTATGGTGAACTTTGCTAGAGATTTCTTGCCATCTTGGGCCTCAGGAGGAAGAAAGGAGGCACAGTTACCTATAACCCCTAAACACAGTTGGATTTACTTCTCAGTAAGCATGCATAGGATAGCACCATAAGGCACTTTCTGTTGGATCAATTAATGCGGGTAAAAGAGTAGGCAGCAAAAATACAAAAGGTGTAGCTAATTAGAGTTGCTGAAATTTGAACCTAGGCACTAAGTTTATTAACTGCAAATATTTCACTTAATGGACTGAAAACTGACAAAACAGTTTCTAGGATGCTAATTGACTAAGGAGCTGTTTTTCCCACCATATTCTTACAGTTTTTAGGTAATTGCCAAGGCGGGGGGGGGAATCTATTTACACATGAATGTGGGAACCAAATGAGTTGTGTATTGTACAGTCCCTCGGCTATTGGCTTTTGTAATTAATAATAATTGTAAAGAACAATATTCTTCCCTTCAACATAAATGCGAACCACTGCCTATCTTTTTGGTGTGGTTTTTTTTCTTTCCCAATCAAATTCTCAAGTCCTGTGGTTGGTCTTTTCAGTCTGTTGGCCTTTCAGACTCATGAAATGTAATTACTGTTAACGCCACGAAAAGCTAGGCCTGCCGATTGAGTCAGCTTTTATCTCTGCATTTCAAATGTATCCCAAGACTGACCTTCAACCTCTCTCACCGCAGAAACCTGGAACTGGGAGAACAAAGGCTCCCTGTTTTAGTGAAGTTCATGCCATTTTATCATGTGGATATATTTTTACACAGGAGCAGGCTGGAGGTCGTCAGTCTCATTTTTACTTATGCCCTTAGCACAATTTGAATCCAGTTTCCTGAAGTGAAGGTTAAGCAGCATGTACACAAAGCTTTGGGAAATGGTAAACCTCAAAAGATGCAGCCCCCTAATGGTGGAGAACACTCCGGCAGTTGGGAGCACTGAGCAGTTGAGGTTCCAGATCACATAGAAACCAGGGCCACATCTGCACCAGACATTTAAACCACTATTATACCACTTTGACATTCATGACCCTTCCGCAAAGGATCCTGGGAACTGTGGTTCATTAAGGATGCGAAGAGTTGTTAGCAAACCCCTATTCCTCTCAAAGAGCTATAGTTCCCCGGGGAGAGGGCTTGATTGTTAAACCACTCTGGAAACGGCAACTGATTCATTCACAGCAAAGCACAATTATGTGGTCTCCCAGAGAAGAGATCGCAGGCGCTTTACTACTACAGTGGACCCTCTAATTACGTACTGCTCTGGGTATGTAACTTTCGGGTTACGAATGCAGCAAAGCCGCATGCACAGAAGCGCGCCACATGCGTGCACAGAAGCGCTCAATTGCGCCATGCACAGAAGCGGTGCCTCTGCCTACAGACTTTTCAGGTTGCGGGTGGACCCCTGGAACGAATTTAATTCGTATCCGGAGGGTCCACTGTACTCTGATCCTCCTGCAGCTGTACCATAAGAGAGCTAAGCCATAGTTTAGTTTAGCAAGTTATCTGAACCTGGGCTTGTTGTCAGTCTCCTCTGAAAAAGACTGCAAACAATAAGCCGTAGAATGATTCCTGGCTACAGCTCATGAGAGATCTGAAGCAAATGAAACAAGCCTGGGTTCAGACAATATACTAAGCCAAACCATGGCTTGCCTCACAACAGCAGCATTGAAGAAGGAGCAAAACGGCCCCTATCCCTCCAGGAACATGCATGCTCTTAGGTTTCTGCTAAGTCATGGTTTGGTTTAGCAGCATGTGCAAAACTGGGTCAGTTGTATCTCTACCAGTCCCATTCCTATAATCCAACTGTTGTGGAGCCAGTAAATTACTGCTGCCCCTTTTCCTATTTAAAATGAGCTTTAATAACTTTTGTAGAGTTTCTTGTTTTTACAACTTCTTTATTACAAAGCCCACAGTTCCGCTGTATAAGCCATCCCTCTTTCACCTTGTGAAAAATAGCTTTGCCTTAATTCAGATAAGTGAACTCTCTCAATGATTCCTGTTCATCAGACAGTTTTAAAAGTTTGACTCTCTCTTTAAACTGACTGATCATGTTGGGAAATGACTTTATCGATTAAGGTTATTTAAAAGATATAACTTCATTTATATACCTGCATATAACCAGATCAGAGGTTAAAAGCATCTATAATTAAAAATATTGTATTAACAGTAAAGAAATGCAGTCATCTTTAAAATAATATGGCTACTAAATTTCTTTTACATACTATTATTGCAAACAATACCCACAAGAACTCTGGGTTTGAAAAAGGAAAGGAGTCCAAAAGAGTTGGGAAGGTTCTTTTTTGGTTTCACTTTCACATTTCATAATTTCTAGAAAGCAAACTATTGAAAAGTGTTCCATAAATAATTCCTGAAGTATGATTTACATTTGCTCCTGCCTCTAAATTACTTTGAACATGCATTTTTGGAGCTAGGCATTTGTCCTTTGGTTCTGACACAAGCTGTGCATCCATAGTAGTGACCAGAGGAGGGATGACAACTGGGAGGAGCGCAGAGAGAAGAAGCACCATATTACATCCGCAGCAGCACAACCAGATGCCTTCATCTGACCATATCAGTCTCTACAGCCACAACAGGCATTGTAATTTTCCAACAGCTGAAAAGCGCACTCCTCCATTGTCTGCTGAGACAGACAGGTGCCAACTATTTTCTCTTTGGCAAGTGGTGAAGTCTCAAGACAGTGAGGACCTTGAACTGTCTTCATATCACAAAGCAGGATGGGTCTTTCAGAGACTTTGGCTACTACAGTGGTACCTTGGGTTATGAACTTAATCCGTTCCGGAGGTCCGTTCTCAAACCAAAGTGTTCTTAAACCGAGGCGCACACTTTCCCTATTGAGGCCTCCCGCCGCCGGTGTTCGGTTTCCAGGGCAAAGTTCGCTAACCAGAACACCTACTTCCGGTTTTGCGGAGTTCGTCGTCCGAAGCGTTCGTTAACAGGGCTGTTCGTAGACCGAGGTACCACTGTATTGGCCAGG